GTGGCCTTGGGGTTCACCCATGGATGGGTGCTAAAGCTCTCTCTGGGAATGCTCTCCATGTGTGGGTGCCCCCTATCCCGGTGGAACAACTGACATGCCGGTGGAACCTGGATGCATCCCATTAAGGCCAACTCACTGTCAGCCTTCCAGGGTCAGGCTGTTGGGACCCAAATCTCTGCTCACCCCAAGGGGCTGCCCCACACACCCTCCAGCTGGCCAAGGTGTTGGTGCTGAGACGCCAAAGAAACAGGGATTCATGATAAACCCTGGGCTCCAAAGGGAAGGGGGGGGTCCATGCTGAGGAGCAGAATGGTTGCTCCAAAAGCTGGGAAGCTTTGTCTCTCCTTCCCCCTCTGAGTCCACTCCAATCTGAGTGACATAGGGAGGGTCCAGTGGTGCTCTCCCCGTGCAGCCCTCGCACAAGGGGCACAGGGACCACGATCATCCCCAGAGCTGTGTGTGACAGTACTGTTGTCCCAGAGCCCTTTCCAGGGCTCCAGCTCTTGTCCTGCCCAGCTGTTTTTCAGCTCTGATCTCCCAGACAGTTGCCACCCACAAAGGAGAGGGCACGGCACGCACGCCAAGCGTCTGGAGAGACCAGGACAGACACCCAAGGCAGATTTACAGTGGTGTGAGGGGTTTGTGTCTCGGCCAAGTGCGGCGGCTTCTCCCTTCCAGCCACCCGGATGGCTCAGAAGTGGTGGCACAAATCTCTCGTCACACGGTCAGGTCCAGCCGCCTGCCCTGGCTCACTCGGGCTGGGGGTGTCTCGGCTGCATCAAGCGAACTCCCCGTCCTCCTCCAGCATCTGGATCCCATAATGCAGCACTTGGCCGGGCGGGCAGGAGCCTGGGAGCCAGGGCAGGAACACACTGCCATGGCAGGGACACCCAACAGCCTGCCCCGGAGCTGGACACACAGAGGGGCTGCCCTCTCCTGTGGGGCTGCTTGGGGGGCACTGATGGGATTCCCTCTGACACGGATTCCCGTCTGACAGGGGCCAGACCTGTCTCTGAAGCTGATCCAAGATAGTGGCCTTGAGAATAGAGTCCTGCCAGTCCCTGAGACCATCACCATAGCCTCAGGGCTCCCAGCTTGCAGGAGCAGAGGCCTGAGCAGAGGCAGGAGGCCAGGCACTTTTCTGGGGTGCCACTGCCTTCCCAGTCACCTCACATGATGGGGTGCTCCCAAAACGCTGGTGCCACAGTCCCCACCAGTGGGACCCGCTGTGTGCCAGGCAGAGCTGGGCACAGGCACAGGCACGGTGCCACAGGACATGGTGCTCTGGTGCTGCCTGTCCTCCCGTGCCAAACTTCTCACATCAAACTGTCACCAGCTCTGCGGGCCCAGAGCTGGCACAGCCCAGCAGGGAGGGGAACATCCTCAAAATCGATGCCACCTGGCACCCCAAAGATATGAGTCGGGGCCTGGGTGGGGAAGGGAATCAGCTCCTCTGTGCTGTCAGCAGGAAAATATTACTTATGATTGATGGCACTGGGATGAAGCTGCTCTCCTGGCTCCACGGCCCCAGCCCAGCACGCACATCCCCTGCTATTGCCCCCCTTCTCCATCCTTTTTTCTCTCCACCCTCGCAGTCCTGTCCTCCCTCATCCCCGCCACGCTGGCGGTGCCGGCTGGGGCTTCCCACGGCACAGAGCAATCCCGCAGCTCCGAACCGCAACCCTCAGTGGCTCAGATCTGCTGCCAGGCCCTACAGATCGGTATCTCATGCATCCCCCTTTCTGCCAGTTATTAAGTGGAGATTTATTAGGATAGCTTCAGTCCAGCCGTCTGCATCCAAAAATGACATCAGCCATGTCCCGGTTCCCATCGCCAGCCCTGCACCCGCGCACGCACAGCCTGGCCAGGCCCTGCAGCAGGTCTGGGTGCTGCAAGAGGTGGGGGGGTCCCTGAGCTGAGTAGCCCCCAGCCTGGAGACCAGGTGGGGGGAGGCGCAGGAGCACAAGGGAACATCTGGATGGATAAGCCACAAAGAGGGATTCTGCCCTGGGGTGTCTCCCAAAACTTGGGCCATCAGAAATCCCCTGGGTCACACCCTCCTGCTCCACGAGTGGTTCGTGTACTTGTGGGGCTTGGAGGTTTTTGCAGGAACCTCCCCTGTGGCCCTCAACCCTCCTAACTCTCAGCTGCAGCGCAGAAAGCTCAATCCATGCTGTTCCCTTCACATTGTGGCAGGATGGGAGCCGGAGCTCGGCAGCCTCATTCCACCGTGGCGGTTCCTGCCAGTGCCCAGCCCAGCCCAGCCCAGTGTGGAAGGGGACACCGGCCGGTCCCAGGCAGTCTCAGGGGCTGCCAGGTGGGAGCAGCCAGCTCTAGGGCTGCTCAGCACATGTGCCTGAGACGGGCGGCTTTCCCCAGAACCAGCCTCAAAATGCCTGGGAGATGACAGCACGGCTCTCCAGCCACTGCCAGACCCCTGCTGCCACCGTCCCGCTCCCGCAGCTCCTCTCGGGGATCCCTTTTGGAAGGTCACGAAGCTGCTCCCAGTCCCGACACGGTGCTCACCTCCCGGGCAGTGCTTCTTCATGCGGCACCTCCTGCTCTCCTGCAGCGGGGGGCAGGCAGCCCCCTCCTCCCGGGCAGCCTCCGGCACCTCCCGCACCCGCGTCTCCACCCCCCACTTGCAGCCGCAGGTCCGGCTCTCGTGGGTGCAGGCGCTCCACTCGCTCCACGGCCCCGGCTCGCACGTCTCTGCGGGGATTTGGGGGCAGAACGAGGACGGTGACCCCGCGGCACCTGGCACCCCAGGAATGTTGGGCAGGGGGTGAGGGTGCTGCTTACCTTGGCACTCGCGGGTGCCAGGCTGTGCCGCAGTGCTGGGGGGGCACTGCCGAAAACACTGGCCCTTGTACAAGTAAAACTTGTCCTTGCACTTCATGCAGAAGTCCCTGCTGAAGCAGCTCTCGCAGCTGGGCGACCTGCACTCTGCCAGGAGGGACGGCCCGTCAGCGGGAGAGCCCAGGACACGTGGTAGCCCCGGCACCCCACCAGGGACCTAAAACCTGCGGGGTGCAGGCTGCAGCTCTGGGCAAGGGGAAAGGGGAGGAAGCCCCCCAGCCCAGCTGCCCCCTGGATCTGTGCCTCCGTGCAGCCAGGGATGCTGCAGGAAGTGAAGCCATCGCCTTTCCCACAGCACCGGGATCTGCAGGGCGGCGAGGGGAGCAGGGGGGCACCGGTAGGAGCAGGGGGACGTACTTGTGCATCTGTTGACCTCCAGACCCCGCACACCGAAGTAGCCAGGCGGGCAAGTGTGGACACACATCCCGTACTGGCGGATGCCGTCCCTCCAGATGAGCAGGAAGAGCCGGTGGTGGCAGGTGATGCAGCCGTTGTCCTCAGAGCACAGGATGCAGCCTGTGCAGTTTTCCAGCAGGCCGGCATTCGCTGGAGGGACAAACGGAGGAGAGGGGCTGTGGCCTGGCTGCAGCACAAGTGTCAAGGTGCCAGGGAGGGTCCCAGCCCCGTGGAAGCCCCTCTGCGACGCACAGGGTGACAGCGCTGTCTTGTCCTCCTGCAAACACCTCCCTACCTCCCTCCGCTCCCTAAATCCCCACCTCTGCCTGCACTGGCAGCGTGGGGACACACAGATGCCATTGCTCCATTGGGCATCACTGATGGCCTCCACCACCCCAAGGTCCAGACTGAAGGTTTGCCCCACGCCCAGCACTGCCCTTGGTTGCCAGCCTGAGGCCCATCCCCAGCCACCTGTGCCCATCCCGTGGGAAGTGAAACAACCAGTGGGTCAGTGGGTAGAAATATGCTCTGACCTGGATTAATCAGTTGATGCCTGTTAAGTGTCAGGGGACAAAGGGCATTTTGGAAGCACTCAAGAGGAGCCGAGATAAGGATCTGTCTGGTTGCTCAAGAGCCTCTGCCGCCTCCCTGGCTGCCTTCCCCGTGATCCTGACCTGCGGGAGGGGGAGGGCAGCTGACCCTGAGGTGGTCTCTCCTCCCTGGGACACGGACAGGGTGCCAACACCCACTAGCCCATGGAGACACTACCAACCCTCCTGTTCCCCATGCCGTTTCCCTGCACATACAGAAAAGCAGCCCAGAGGGATGCTCCTGGCAGTGGGGCACTTTAGGAACTGGGGAGCTAAACTCTGAGCTTAGGGACACTTTGGGAGCTCTGGGGGCCATCTGGGCATCACCATAAGGGGCCACCAAGCTCCTGCTCACAGATGTCCAATGCCTTTGCTGTGCCCAGGATGTTGGGAAGCGTTTGCTTGCCTCCGACACCACAGGCTCCCCTAAGCCAAGGTCCACACTGAGCAGTGGTGACAGTGCCAGTAGCCCTGGTGCTGCATACTAGAACCCTGGGCTCTATAGAATCACAGAATCACAGAATGCTTTGAGTTGGAAGGGACTTTAAAACTCATCTTGTTCCAACCCCCTACCATGGGCATGGACACCTTCCACTAGATCAGGTTGCCCCAAGCCACATCCACCTGCTGGGTGCTGCCTGGCACAGACACAGGCTCAGCCCTGGGAGTGATGCCTGGGACAGGTTCCCTCTGACCCCAGGAGCTGCAGCAGAAGGGCCTCATGGCCACAGGGCTGAGACAGAGGGGATGGTGGAAGCAGTGGTTGGTGCTGGAGAAGCTGGGGATATGCTGGCAGAGGATGCTGGCATACATCGACCTGCAGTCCCGTGTGCTGGACCCTGGCACAAGCCAGTCCCTGGTGCCACGGTGCCATATAGTTGTTGCCAAGCTGGCTCATCCCTGTCCCCTCGCTGGGGCACAGGGGCTGGGATGGCAGGACTGCCAGGAGCCTTCATTAGAGCTGCCTCTGTTGGGAGCCCTAACGAAGCACCTTGGATCCATTAAGTTGTTATGGTCTCCGTTACATATTTACCAAATGCTGACAACATTTGTGTTCCTGGCTGCAGCTGGAGCGGCTTCCCTGGAGACCCCGGGATTTACGAGCCTCTTTCCCTTCCCTAATTCTTTTTGATGTTTTTCTTTTGCTACTCTCCTTCCACCCCAGTCTGTGTAGGGAAGATGGGGAGCCCTGGGAAGGCTCCAGGGCCTCCTTCCTCTCACTGGCTTTGGAAACAGCTCCATGGTGTGGAGCTGGGAGAAGCTCCTCCACCCTGCAGGGCTGCCAGCATGGCACACGCCTTTACCATCAGGAGCAACATCGTGAGCCACCGTGGAGCTGTGCCACTCAACGGAACGTGGCTCACGCCAAACCCATGGAACTGGGGATTAGAGACAAGTGGGGGGGTTCTTCTCCCCCTGCCCAGTGGTGATGGAAGATTGCAGGGCTGAGCTGGGATGGGCACTGGGCAGGGGGCACAGTGGGTATCTGAGCTCTGCTGGACATCTGTGCGACATCTCCTTATCTGCCCACCCTGAGCCCAGCCCTGCCACCGTGATGTCTGTAGGCACTGGATGGAGTCTCTGGGACACTGGGTTACCCAGGCCAGAGCTCCCAGTAGCAGTGGGGTGGCTCTGGGGTGCTGCAGCATCCTTCATGGCTCCCAGCCCCAAAAGACTGTGCCAGCCCTTCTCTGCTGTTTATCCCAGGGGATATAACGCATTTAAGGTGTGAAGCCACAGCCAGACCACCCAGTGCTGCCAGGACCTGAGGCCCTTGAGCATCTCAGAGTATTGGGCCACTTAGCATGAAGCACCAGCAGCTGAAGCAGTGGCCCCATGGCGCTCAGAGCCCCTCTTGGTGCCAGGCTGTTTCCCATCCAGGGGTGTTTTGGCCACCAGCCTGGCCACCCACATCTTAACACACCTACTGCTACACATGCCTTTAATATGGAACAAGTTCAAGGAAAGCTGCCTGGGCTCCTGCCAGGTCCTGTCCCTACCCTGGCACATGCTGGCTCCAGAACTGAGCCATTCATGGCACAGAGCTGAGCACCAGCCCTGGCCCTGCTCTCCACACCCGGCTGGCACTGCCTGGTGAAGGGACATGAGCCAGTGCCCAACGGAGGGTGCACGTGCCTCGGCAGAGCCCCAGCACACCCTGCCTTCGCCCAGGCACTGAGCAGCAGCTTGGCTGGTGCCTCTGCCCAGGGGAAGGATGGGCAGGGGACAGTCAGTGCCTGCCGTGGCTCTGAGCATCCTTCCAGGAGGTTTTACTCCCCACACACTTGGTGTGTAATGCAGAGAAGGGAAATACTGGAAAATCAGCCCATTTTGTGCTATCCCCACTGTATCGGGCTCTGCTGGGGTTTGCAGAACTGGTCCCAGTGCCAGGCAGCATCCCCTGTCCCCTGCCAGCCCTGATGGCTCTGCATTTTCCTGCACTGCCACACCAGCCCTGTGCCACACACCCAGAGGGGAACATAGATGGTCCCCAACGGGGCCTGAGGGATGGGTTGGGGGATGTTGGTTCCTGGCACCCTCCATCCCTAGTTCACAGCTCCTGCTCACTCCGGGCAGGCAGGACAGGCAGCCTGGTGTCCCAAAGCCACCCCGCAGTACCAGAGCAGGATAAGCCCAGCACACACACCATACCTTGCTTCTTCCATCGGTTCTGCGTGAGCATTTCCATGGAGCTGATGAGTAACAGCAACATGAATATTATCCACTGCATCTGGGCAGGAGTGATTTCGGGCAGGGAAGGAATCAAATCATCCAAGCGGCTGGCGGGCTCGGCTCCTGCCAGAGCCGGTGAGGGGCGGTGGGAGGGCGAGGAGCGGCTCCGGGCTCACACCATCCCACCCCGGGCTCCGGGCGCGCAGCCACGATTCAGGGCAGCATGAGCCGGTGACACTGGGGCAGGCTGGGGCTGTCAGGCCCGGGGAGCTCTCATGGTGGCGGGGAAAGTGCCGGCTGCTCCGGAGAGCTCTGCCTTTATAGCCAGTGTCAGCCCCCCCTCCTCACCCTCCCCTTCAAAATAATAATAATCCTAAAAAAAAAAAGTCCCTCAGCAGCAACAAAGCGACTGGCAAACGCCCTGGCTGGATCCCCCCGGAGCGCTCCAGCCACCACCTCGGCTGGGAACTGTCCCGCCGTCCCGCCGCGGTCCGACTGTCCCGCTGCCATCCCAGCGCCGGGGTCACAGCGAAGCCCCCTGCGATTTTGGGGGGGGTGGAGCCAGGCGGGTGACGCTGCCTGAGTCAGCCCCCTCCCCGGCTCAGCCCCCCCAGGCTCAGCCCCCCTCTCCCGGCCCCGGCAGGGCTGGGGATGCCGGCGGCAGACCCCGGGCAAGGCTGAGCCCCCCGGACAGGGCTGAGCCCCCCGGGCAGACCGGTCAGTGGGAGCCGTGGTGGGTCTCCGGCAGCTCCGGCGGCGGCTGTGGGTCTGCCCCGGCTGTCCCCAGGATTGCAGCTGACTCTGATTTTCCGAGCGCCTCCTAACTCACCTCCCTCCGAGCTGCGGGAGCGGAGCTGAGCTGAGCTGAGCTGAGCTGAGCTGTGCCAAGCTGTGCCAAGCCAAGACGAGCTGCACTGAGCTGTTCCTGGCTCCCATGAAGCTGTCCACACCCCTTGTCCCACATTGTGCTCCCCAAAACCCACCCTGGAGGCACCACGCCCAAGGGGGATGCAGGGCAGGAGGGGAAAGGGGCTCATCTGTGACACCCCACTCACCAGGTACCCAAGGTGACCCACAGAAGCAGGTCCCCATCCTGGGAGCCCCATGTACTCACCCTTTGTGATGGGTGCCATCACAAAGGGTCTCATCGTGCTCTCATGTGCCAGCCCTGTGCCAGGAGCTGTGCCCTGGAGCAGCCTGGTGACCTCCTGACCAGGGCTTCAGGGCCACTGGTCACCAGTGACAGCCCCGATGACAGCGCTGATGACAGTGCACACATCCTTGGCATCTCCAAATGCAAACCAGCACATGGTGCCCCTCTCCTCCCCTTGGAGAGGGCACAGGGAGGCCTCTGGGGCAGATGCTCACCCACCTGCCCATCCTGTGTACCAGCCAGCTGCAGGGCTCCTTCTCACCCTGGGATGCTCCAGGTCTGCCTTACCTGGGAGGGACAAATGTGTTGGGCACCCCTGAGCACAAGCAAACTCCCACAGTGTCCTGGGGTGCCCAGAGACAGCGCATTGGGGTTACTCTTCTCCTACTCCCTGAATTTCTCCTTCCTGCTCCCCCTCTCTGAGAGTCTCTCTCCCCCGTTCCCATCGGGCACCGCTGTGTTTCATTTCTGAAGGTTAATGATCAGACAACAAAGGAGCCATTTCAGACCCCTTTGGCCTTGTTATAGGAAACTAGGAGTAATAATGGAGAAAACCAGGAGTAATAATGGTTGGAATCACTTTAGGTTTTTTTTTCTAATTATTAAATAAATTGAAAAATTACACGTAAAACGCAGGTTTGCAGCCTCTGGCTCAGCCAAAGTTTCCATAAACAACCAAACGTGCAGGATGGCGTCACCATCCGTGGTCTGCATGGGCTGAGGAGGGCTCTGTGGGCATGGGCATGGCACTGCCATCCCAGTGTAGAAAAACAGGGCATTGGAGACATATGAGTGTCTCCAAATCCCAGCTGCAGGCAGCTGGAATGGTGTGGATGGCTCTAACCCGGAGGTGACGTGGGTGCCATTTTCCTGGGAGCCAAGAGGATATTTCCTTGTCCAGACCTGGAAGTCAAATGCTGGTCAAGGGCCAGGGAAGTGCCTCATCCCTGGTCACGTTCTCTGGCTGCTGGCACAGGAAAATGGATGTCAGCAGGAGCCCTGCCAGGGTGACCCCTCACAGGAGAATGCACTAATTAGACAGCTCTCATTAGAGCTGGATCCTTAGGGCAACACGTGGCCATTGCTCAGCCCATCTCTGGCTGCGTGGGATCATGGGGGATTTTCCAAGGGCAGCAGAGCAGAGCAGCCATCCCCACATCCCTGCTAGTGGGTGCCAGGTGTCCCTGAGGGAACAGAAAAATCCTCTCATTTCCCTTAATTTGGCTATTTATGACAAATCCAGATGGTGGTGGGAAGGGATGAGGTGGTGTCCCCAAGCTAATTGGGTGCCTGGCACCCCTCTGTTGTGCCGGGAGGCATTTTGGGGATTGTGGAGGGGTATCCCAGGTGATGGTGCCAGGGCAGCACCCGCAGTGACTCAGGGGTGACGCTGGGGAGAAGCGAGGCTGAGCCGCGGGTGCTGCTGGCAACTCCCGGCTCCTCACGCAGCCCTGCTCCACGCCAGTGCAGAGGGAATGAAATGTTCCTCATCCACTTTCCAAAGCAGAAGGGAGAAAGTGTCCAGAAAGATAATTCAGAAAGTTTGTTTGACACTTGAGCACACTTTCATCTTCGGAAAAATCTTGATGACCTTCCAAGGCTGCACCGCCTGCTTCCCGGCACGGCCGGCGCCCCAGGGCACACGCCCGTGGCACCATCCCAGCAGCTGCTTTTGGGATGCTCAGGGCTCTGGAGGGGACAGCGTGGTCCCACCGAGTTCACAGGACAGCAGGGATGCTGGCACAGGGGTAGCGGCACAGGGATGCAGGCACACAGATTTTGGCAAAGGGATACAGGCACAGGGATGTTGGCACAGGGATGCAGACACAGCAATGCAGGCACAGGGATGCAGGCACCTGGGATGAAGATAGAGGGATGCAGGTACATGGGTGTGGACACAGATGCAGGCACAGGGATGCAGGCACAGGGATGCTCCTGGTCAAGGCAGTAAAGTGAAAATGAAATGTCTGGAGCTGACTGACAGCAGAAAGAGACAGGAAGGGGCAGGGGGATGGAGGGAGCCTGTGGATGAGGGCAGGGTTTTCTCTGCAGGTGGCATGAGCTCCCAGCAGCTGCGAGGGGCAGGAGGGATACTCTCTGGTGCAGGGGCCCTGGTGCATCCCAGTCAATGAATGTGGGTTTGATCAGGGGAGGGTTTGAGCGGATGGTAGTGGATAAGGAAGAAAAATACTTGGCATTCCTCTCCCATCATAACAAGCCCAGATGCTTGGACGGTGGCAGCCCGCTTCCCGCAGGAATGGAAAGTCACAGCCACTCTTGCGCCAGCTCTGCAGAGGCCCTTTCCCTGCTCTTATGAAATGCTGGCTCCACCTCACACCGCTCTGCAGCCCTCACTGCATCCTGTGACACAGCTCCCTCCACCACCCAGCTCCCTGGTGGTGCCACTGCCCATGACCCCACTTTGGGGAGGCAGAGCTTGGAGCAGGAAAACCTACTGGGAAAGGCTAAGTGGCAGATTTACTACTGGTGCCAGAGCCTGATGTGGCTGGTTCTTCCCACATGTGGACATGTTTGGAACACCTGGACCAGCACAGCCCTGCAAGGGAGGAGAACTATGCTGGGTTGATGCCATGGGAAGTTCTAGTGGGAAGCAGCTCCTGCCTGGCCAGAGCTGCTGGAAGCAGCTCCAGCCTTCCCAGCAGCCCATCTCACCCTCCCGTGTTGGCACAGAGCTGGTGAGATCCCTTGGTGCTGGGATGCCATCAGCTCTCACAGACAAGAAGGAAGGTGTGAAGGTGGCTGACTTCACTGCTGATGTCAGCCAAGAGCATCCTGCAATATGCTCATGGCACACTTGCTCTCCTTCTCCTCCTCCTCCTCCTCCTCCTCATGCCATGCTCCGGCCATTCCTGGGTTTGTGCTGCCCCCCATGCCGGCTGCTCTCAGGGGATGTGGCACCCCAAGAGGTTTAAGTTTTGCCATAAATCAAATCCTTCATCCCAGAGCAATCTCTGGAGCTCAGGCTCTCCTCCCGCCAGCACGGCTCCTCTGGCTCGCTCTGGTCCTGGCCGCCGGTGCGACTGTGCAGCTTTTGAGTGCTCCAGCTGCCAAAACAGGAGCAAAACCCAGACAAGGAATTGGCGTCAAGTGGTGCCGAAGGCCGAGGGGCAGCAAGAGGAGGAGAGGGAGCTGGGAGGAAAGGGAAGGCGAGCAGCGAGATGGGAGGGAAGGTTTGGTGTCGAAACCGAATTCCTGCTCCATGTCAGCAGAGCAGATTTCCAGTGTTTATTTTATCTCTTTAGTTGAGCCCCTTTGAGGCAGAATATATTAAATGGCCTGACTTTATATAATAGAAATAATTGAAACAATACTCCTGCTTCCAGCCGCAACGTGCCGTGATTTCAGCCAAGAGTGGCCAGCCTGCCTCCTCGAGGTGGTGGGGACAGCCGCCGCCGCTGGCGCTTGTTTGCTGGTTATTGTTGACACATGTCAGCATCGCCTTCCAATTTCCGTACAGCTGTCAGAGCGGGAAGAACACCCGGCGGCTGGCGCAGGGTGGGCTCGGTGCCGGCCAGCGCCGACGGGCGCTGGGGAGGAAGGACATCATCCCCACGCTGGGCTCCTCTGCAGTCACAGGGTTATGGCTGAGCCGGGATTCCTCAAGGAGAGGTGGCGTTTGGGCAGCGCTCTCAGGTAGCCAGGAGATGAGGGTGTTGGAAAGGGGAGAACCTTGGGAGGAGGGAGGGTGCACTGGCTCACTGCGTGAACCATTGTGCTGAGACCTTGGTGTTCAGTGGAGAAGGTGAAAGGAGATGAAGGTTGAGGGTTGTTGAAGTCTTTATCCAACTTGTGTCCAGCAGTGAATGGGATTGGGGCAGGGAAAGCCCCCCAGCTCCAGAATCCCTGTGGAGAAAGGCTCTCTCTGAGAGCCATCCTCGCAGCCAACATAAATTTCCATCCCACACAAGCCACTGAAACTCTGTCACTGCAACTCTGTCGCTGCTCCTTGAGTAGAGCTAGATGGATGAAACAAGAGCAAACACGATGGTGAGGAGTCCCCCATGTTAAGCCAGGCCATAAACCAACTCCCACCCATTGGCAAGGTTCCCAGGAAGAACTGGCAGGAGGTGCGACTAAGAGCAAAAGGCAGGGGAGGTCTTTGAGAAACTGAGGCACAGTGTGAAAACTGCTCCAGAATCTCTTCCTGCCATTGCAGCCATTCCCCCATCTGTGCACAGTGGGGGCTCAGGGAAGGTTTCTCCAAGGAAAGGCAGAAGGTGGGATGTGTGGTGCAGGGCAGGGAGCCCGTGGTTTGTGACTGCAGGTTATTTTGCTGTCAGGGAGCTGGAATTCCCCAGAGGAGTTGGGTGCTTCTGCTGTGCCCACTGTACCCCTCAGCCTGGGCACAGCCACTGCTCTCCCA